CAGAGTCAGGTTAGATGTAAGAGGTCCTAGTCCATGTTATTCTCTTTTTGAATATTCTGTTTGAGATATAAACCACACGTGAAACAAAACTGAATTGGAATCTTCATAGTAATGTTACAGGCTTAAGAATATTTTTCAGCCTTTATCAATGTGCATTCCACCAATTATGAATAATTACACTGGAAAACACAGTCTTTGACAATATCACAAGGTTCGTGATTTGGGCTTTCTCCAAATCTGGGTTTTCAGTGTCCCTACTGTGTGCTCTTAGCACCCTCTTGCCCTATGACAGTAATGATCAAACTCTTAATTGTCTATAGCGAATTCCCATTAGACTATAGTTCTATGAGGATAGAAAGCATGTCTTTCTCACTGATCATTCTGTCCCGTGAACCTAGCATTCTGTCCCCTGAACCCAGCACTGTGTTAATTCAATAAATGTATTAATTCAGTCAACAAATATTTTTTGAAGATCTATTATGTACCAGACTCTGTTCTATGTACTAGAGATACAGCACACAATAAAACAGAAAGTCCAGCCCTCGTGAAGATTATATTGTAGTGGCAGTGCAAGATGCTATTTAGTTGCTTGTCTCAGATCTCTTTTATCTGGCCAACACATCTTCAGTGTCTAGGCATTGGCTCCCAGCTCCCAGCCCTTGCCTCCTATTCCCAATAGTATTACCATTAGCTGAGAGGCACTGACTCAGCCAAGAAGTCACGGTGCCCTTATCCAAGCACACTGACTTACTGATACAGGAGTACTAATGGTGGGTCATACCTTCAGGTACAATTAATGCACCAAAGAAATTCCTTCTCAAGGTTAGAGCTCCCTGAAACCAAACCCTACTTGGTTGCTTCACCTGCACTAACCTGCTTCAGTCTCTCCCTTGCAGGTCTTTCCTGAAGAGCATTCCCTCATTATAGATTCAAATCTAGTTCTTTCTCTCAGGTTCTGCTTCTAGGAAATCCAACCTAAGACAAAAGGCAAGGCACAATAAGCCAGTAACCATGTAAACGAATTCCATGCTAGATGGTGATTGTGACTTTGGAGAATGGAAAAGGAATGTGCTGGGAGATAGGGGTCCCATTTGAAATAAAGTGGTCAGGAAAAGCTCCTCCAATAATGTGGCAATGGCAGGACCTAAGGGAAGTGAAGGTGTAAGCAGTAAGTCTGGAGTGGAGGGTTGACCATCACAGGCAGAGGGAACCTCATTAAATGAGGGGCAGGAAGAAGGCTGGTGCAGCTGGAACAGAACAGCCAAGTGGTGAAAATAAACTGGATGTTGGTATTAATAAGAAGACTGAGTTCTAAACAAATAAGAGACAAGACAACAAAAAGACTAACGCAGTTACTGAGAAAAATATCAACTTAATTACTGAGGAAGACCAGGTTGGCAAAGATGGCTCAGTGGAAAGGAACCATAGGCTATTTGATGCTAAGCCCCAGAATCAGCCATACTGATCCTTCCTGTTATGGAAGGCTTGGAGAAATATACCAGAATGCATCAAGACGGGGAAAGAGGCTGCTCCACACTTGGTTGATCAGCCCGTTATCTCAATATGATCTAATAGAGAGCACCTGGAGCATGCTATTAATAGAGGTCTTTTCAGAGGGAAATAGGAAGCACAGGCCAAAAAGGTTCATGGCCTCTCCTAACCTCAGTACCTGAAACTCAATGTTCTTGAATTAATTAGGCAGAAGGCTGCAGTACAGATAAAGCTTATAATAAGCTGTGCAATGTGATATGTAACTAACTAGCATGCTGAAATCTGAGAGCTCAAAGCCTGAGCAGATTTGGAGAGAGAACTCATGTTTCTTAATTCCTACATTGAATATATAATCTGCCGGTACACCAAGATATCCACCTCTCTTTTAAACTAAGGTCTTTATGTACCTGGCATGTCTTCTGTGTTCTGGGGGAGGAGTGTACAAGTAAGTGACAACTAGTTTGAGGTGCCTCACTGAGAAAAGGAGCCCCCAACTAGAAGCACTGTTAGCTTAGACCTGAGCATATGGTATGAACTTCCATGACCAAGTGGCAGTGGCATATCCCTCAACTCTCAGAGAAAGAGAAGGAAAAAGGATTGGGGAGCAGAACAAGAAGGAGAGTTCCATTGGCTACCCAGAATGCTCTGCTTTCTCATTAGAAGACATTATATTGTGACCCAGTCCTCTCAAAGCAGCAAGATGTTGATAGAATCTCAGAATCTGCCCAATATCATCCCACCCATTTGTCTTTCCTCATAAGGTCATTGAATTCATTTGTGTCAATATTTTACTTTGGAGAAAGGGAAAAATACCAGAATCTATAAGCCAGCCAGCCAAAACACAATAGCTTAACCATGCACAGAATTTGAGTCTTCTTGGACAGACAGTCTATACTCAAAGAAAATAATCTTGTGCTTAAATTGTCTAAATTGGCTCTCCTATTTCTAAATATATTAAATTTTGACCTTCCAAATTACTCTGGCTCTATTGACCCTAGGGGGATTGTTTTTTACTGCCAAATAATAAGTTGGAAATGGACACACTTGCAAGAACAAAAAGTTGCATTTTTTCATCAGGAACCCACGTATCATGGCCTAATGTAGCCCCATCATTTTTTTTTTCAGAAATCTGTTTGAAAGGGTCCATGAAGACTGTTTTATCAATCTGTTATTTACTTCCACAGACATTACTTCTAGAGATCTATCCTATCCAAATAATGCTGAAGCTAACCATGCAATCAGGATCAACCCATCAATGGTTTCATCCCTATCTGTTCTGATTTGTTTTGCACAGATAAAATCAGTAGCTAAGAATCATAGATTTCACTGTTGGCCCCAGCTCTCTCACAAATAACCCCAGTGAGGATCAGGATCAGACCAAGGATGACTCAGTAAAATCCATTGTCTCTGTGAGATACATCAGAATAGGTCCAAATGACAGTAACATTAGTTTAGAAGGAGCATGGGCCTATAAAATGTTATCTCTAGAGCTAAGCTGTTCAAACAAAAAGATAAAAACCTTGAAATAATGACTAAATTGATGTAATCTACTGTGAAAGTTTCCAACCCCATCTGTGGTATCATTCAAGGCCAAGTTAAATCGGGCGCAGTGGGAAGGACACTATCTCAGCCCCTGGTTCCAACTAGACAAATACAACCACCTACAAAAGCGCTAGGGCCCAAGCCAGTTGTCAACCAGAGAAAATTCTTAAAATCACAGGACAACAAAAAAGCTATTTTTTCTGCTCACCTTTCAGAAAGGTAAACATCCTGATAAACATCAGGAGGTTGTATGTATGTTTGTGTGTACATGTGTAGCCCATTGGATTAAATCTCACATGCTTATTAAGTTCAGGTAAATAAAGATAACTGATGACATTCTGATTTAGCTTTAAAAAAGGAGACTGAATTATTTTTTCTAAAACAAACTGCAGAGCCCAGATAATATTATTTTTAAAGCTATAAAGAAGAATTGCTATAAGGGCAAGTGCTAGTTAATGCAAAAACAACTCCAGTGGTAAAAAATAATTTAGTATTTCCACCTCACCAAATTCTCCATATTGTCTTTCTCTTGAACACTGACCAAAGTCTTTTTCAGAATTATGCTGTTATCAGAATCATTCAGTTGTGAAAATAGTTTTGCATCCATTATTCATATTAACTAGTGATGTTGATAAACTTTGATTTGTTATCCTTTAAACTAGTTAGCTATGGGATTGAAATCCAAATCATAAGTGAAAATGTCAGAGAGAGTTTTCTATATCTTCAAGAACGTTTGCATAAAATTGCCTGTCTTTTGAAATAGAATTAAATTTAGAAATTCAGGAGTGACTTCCAGTCACTGGTTCAGCACATTAGGAGCTTAAAAGTTGCCCCTTCAACCTATCAAATAAAAAGCTAAACAAACTGAAAAATCACCACAACTCTTCTTAGATGTGTAAGAAGAATGTGGTCAGTGTACAAACCACTGCCCCCAAATTGGAGAGACAGACAGGTAAGCACAGAATCAGAACATATCAGTACAGAAATTCATGAGTAAGAAATCTCTAAAAGAACCAGGGCTAGTGCAGGAAAACCTAACCCATCATTGACAAATTGCTGGAAGATCAAGCAGGAAAATGTTTGAGAATCAAAAACTCTAGTGGAGGGTGAGGGACAGCAGATGGCATAGCAGTTATGTAGCTAGACTCCCACATTGCCAACCACAGTTTGAGTCCTGGATCCAGTGATTTGAATCACACCAGGCAAGTGTGTGTGCATGCCCAACATCCTAGGAGGAGAATGGAGGAGAAGGGATTGAGGCATGGCCATCTCCCCTGAAGGGTGATTTCTCACTTCCCCTCTCACTGTCTGTCTGGGATGTGTTACTATTGTGCTAATGCCTGGCCTCTGCTATGTGGTTTTATCAGAATCTGACTAACCTTGAGTAAGGGAAACACCCTACTCCAGCTGATTCTAGCCTGCCATGTGGAAGGGATAAATAGCCTAATTTCATCTCTCTCTAGCCTTCCACTTGGGAGAAGGGAAATACCCAACTGAAAGTCTTTCAAACCATTCTTCTCACACAAGGGGGGAGAGGTCACTGAGAAGTACTTGTGAAGGTCACAATCAGAAGAACAGACTCACCAATGACTGAAACCCAACTGTATAACTACAGAATATCCCCCCACACACACACACACATTTTAATACCACATTACCAAAGGCCTATCTATAGCAATTCCTCTTACCCAAGACATAATGTTCAGCTATTAAAAAAATTACAAGACATACTAAAAAGCAAAAAAGCAAAGAAGTACCAGAAACACTCAACTAATGCAGAAATGTTGAACTCATCACTCTGGGATTTAAAAATAACTATGATTAAAATGTTAAGGGCTGTAATAGATAAAGTGGGCATCATATAATAACAGATTGGCAATTTAAGCAAAGACAGGAATTCTAAGAACTACAAGGAAATACTATAGATCAAAAAAACATTGTAATAGAAATAAAGAATACCTTTGATGGGCTTATTAAAAGACTGGACACAGCTGGGGAAAATATCACTGAACTCGAGGATTTCTCAATAGAACATTCTAAAACTGGAAAGAAAAAAAGATTGAATAAATAGAAGAGACTATCCAAGTACTGTGAAACAACCACAAAATGTATAACATAAGAAAAATGAAAATATCAAAAAGAGAAAAGAGAAAAGAAAAGAAGAAATACTGAAACAATAATGACTAAAAACTTTGTCCAAATTAATATCAGTCAACAAACCACAGCTTCAAAAAGCTCAGAAGCAGCAGTACGAGTGGGGACAGGGGGACAAAAATAAATAAATAAATAAAACTACATATAATCATATCATAGCTAAGCTACAGAACATAAAAGATGGAGAAAATTTTCTGAAAGAAGTCAGAAGAAACAGCCATCTTACTTCCATAGGAGCAAAGATAAGAATTACATCTGTCTTTGCAGTAATCATGCAAGCAAAAACAGAATGGACTAAAATATTTAGTGTAAAGATATATTTTTAAAATAATAAGTATGTTAGAATTTCACATCTTGTAAAATTTTTCTTCAAAAATGGAGAAATAGAGACTTTTTAAGACAAAAAAGATAATAATAAAGAGTTTGTTGCCAGTATACCTGATTCACAGAAAAATTAGAAATTCTTCAGAGAGCAGAAAAATTATATGGGTCCCAAATTAGGATTTACATAAAGAAAGGAAGAAAATCAAAGAACGGATAAATTAATTAATTTTTAAAAAATTTTTCTTATTCTTTGTTGTTGTTTTTTAAGACTATAGATTTTTCCTACAGTGCATGTGCACTCTCCAGAAGGCAGAGAGAGAGAGACAGAAAGCAAAAAATCAGCCCCCCGCCCCGGGGGAGGGGGTTGGACATGCCGCAATCCCTTTTCTTCCATTCTCCTTTCCAGATCTTGGGCACATACACACACGTCTGGAACTCAAACCATGGTCGACTATATGCGAGTCTAGCGACATAACCATTACACCACCTGCTGGTCCATGTTTATCTTATTCTTAATTGATCTAATGGGTAAAAATTTGTTCAAAATTATAATAGCCATGGGAACCAACAGTTAGCGTAATGGCTATGTCGCTGGACTCGCACGTAGTCGACCGCAGTTCGTGTCCTGGACCCGGTGGCTTAAAACTCATGCCGGGCGCATGTGCGTGCGTGCCCAAGATCCCGAGAGGAGAATGGAGGAGAAGGGATTGCGGCGTGACCATCCCCCCTGGGGGGAGATTTCTCGCTTTCTGTCTCTGTGTCTCTCTCTGTCTGTCTGGCGAGCGCACGCGCCCTATAGCAAAAAAAAAAAAAAAAAAAAAAAAAAACTCTCAAAAAAAAAATTATAATAGCCACAATATATTTGGTAAGGTGTGAATATGTATATACATATATACACAGATATATGCATATGTATAAGTGAGATGAGTGACTGCAATGACAAAAGGGGTGAGAGATAGGAATTAAGATTATTTTGTTATTATAAGGTACTGCACTACACATGAAGCAATATAGGGTTATTTAAAAGTAGACTTGGATTACTTGTAAATATGTATTTCAAACTTCAGGGCAAGTGCCAAAAAAAAGTGAAGAAAATATAAATGATTCACTTAGATGGGAGAGGAAATATAATCAGATGAAATGCTCAGTTAAAACTGCAAAAGGCAGAAAACAAGAAGATAAAAATAGAAACAAAGAACAAGGGCAACAAATAGAAAACAATACCAAATATGGTAGATATGAATCCAATTATATTAACAATCACTTTGAACAACAGTAGTCTAAATGCATTTACCAAAAGACAGAGTGTCAAAGCAGACTTCAAAAATATTCAGCTATTGGGACCAGCAGGTGGTGTGTTAGTTAAGGTGCATAGCCAACCAAATTTAAGTCCCAGACTCAGAGGCTTGAAAATCATACAGGGCATATGTGTTTGTGTGTGCGTCCAAAATCCCAGGAGGAGAATGGAAGAGAAGGGACTGTGACATGGCCACTACCCCCCATCCCTACAGGGGGATGATTTCTCACTTCCCATCTCTCTTTCTCTCTCCAGCAAGCACACACACCCTATGGCAAAAACCTTTAAAAGAGAAACTAGCTGTTGGCATAATGGCTATGTCGCTGGACTCCCATGTTGTTCGAGTCCCAGATCCAGTGGTGTAAACTCACACTGAGCATGTGTGTATACATGCCCGAGATCCCAAGAGGAGAGGGGAGGAGAAGGAATTGTGGTGTGGTCACCCCTCCTGGAGGAGATTTCTCGCTTTCTGTCTCTTCATCTCTCTCTGCCTTTTTGGAGTGTGCATGTACCCTATAGTAAAAATCTCTCCCCCCCAAAAAAACAAAACCTTTAAAACAATACTCAGCTATAAGTTGTCTAAAAGAAACCCACAAACATAAAAATGCATATAAATTAAAAGTAAATGGATGATGGAAGATATACCATGCTAGCACTGTTCAAAAGAAAGTGGAAATAGTTATTGGGTCATCAAGAAAGTCATGATGCATTTTTGCATACCAGACTCAGAGGCTTGAAAATCATACAGGGCATATGTGTTTGTGTGTGCGTCCAAAATCCCAGGAGGAGAATGGAAGAGAAGGGACTGTGACATGGCCACTACCCCCCATCCCTACAGGGGGATGATTTCTCACTTCCCATCTCTCTTTCTCTCTCCAGCAAGCACACACACCCTATGGCAAAAACCTTTAAAAGAGAAACTAGCTGTTGGCATAATGGCTATGTCGCTGGACTCCCATGTTGTTCGAGTCCCAGATCCAGTGGTGTAAACTCACACTGAGCATGTGTGTATACATGCCCGAGATCCCAAGAGGAGAGGGGAGGAGAAGGAATTGTGGTGTGGTCACCCCTCCTGGAGGAGATTTCTCGCTTTCTGTCTCTTCATCTCTCTCTGCCTTTTTGGAGTGTGCATGTACCCTATAGTAAAAATCTCTCCCCCCCAAAAAAACAAAACCTTTAAAACAATACTCAGCTATAAGTTGTCTAAAAGAAACCCACAAACATAAAAATGCATATAAATTAAAAGTAAATGGATGATGGAAGATATACCATGCTAGCACTGTTCAAAAGAAAGTGGAAATAGTTATTGGGTCATCAAGAAAGTCATGATGCATTTTTGCATAGAAAAACAGAAAAATACATCATGACTTTGCCAATGACCTAATATATTCATCTCTCATAGGAAAGACTTCACAGCAAGGAAAGTTATCAGGAGTACAGGTTTGAGGAGTACTACATGAAGAAAAGGCGTCAGTCCTCCAAGAAGACATAACAATCCCTAACCCATATGCACCTAACAATACAGCATCAAAATACACAAGGCAAAAACTGATAAAACTGCAAAGAGAAATAGATGAATCTGTTTCAACAACTCTTCATCAGAAATGGACAGACCTGGTGGGCAGAAAGTCAGTAAGGACATAGCTGAAGTCAACAATACTATCAATCAACTGAATAAAACTGACACAGAGTACTTCATCCAACAACAGCAAAATACATATTCTTCTCAAGTTCACTTGGAACATTTACCAAGAGAACATTGTGGGACATAAAACACACTCTACCAAATTTTTTAAAAAGGCAACTTGGAGCGATACACAATTATACATAAAGTCACTACCAATATTACTAAAAATAAATCAATAAAGTTTTTTTAGAGGAGCACTGAACACTAGATGTTTGCACAGAAAATTAAACAAAGTCTAGAGAGTTTATTTAAGCTTGAATGTGAAGTATGGGAAGAGCCAATAGAAGGAGACTGGTGGCTAGCAGTGTCTCTTTGCTCCTTTTTCTTAGTCACTCTACATTTATGGAGGACACCTAAAGACATACCCTAATAACTAAAACTAGACAAATTAAAATAAAACTGCTATGTTTCCTTGTTTTAAATAATAAATGCATATAGAAAAACCAACATAAAGGTAAAGATTTTATCACACAAATATGAGAAATGTCCTTGACCCTGAGCTGCTAAAGTATTACCCTAACTTTTCTTCTTTCAAATGATCCCTAGATCTTTCCTGGAGAATTCATGCTTACTCTTACTCCTATCTAGCCCCCCAGGAAGGTTTACCACCTTTCATGACACAGTATTCAACAAACAGGTGTTTGTGTTTCAGCAAGCATAGCTTACCTTCTAGTTCTACTGGGAATGGGCTTAAAAGCACTACTGCTCTGCGTCTTCCTGGTAATATGGATAATGAGCCTAAGGAAATGATATTCACCCTATGAGCCATTTCTTACATGAACGGTTTCACTCTTATCTGGGGAAAGGCAAGAAACAATCTTAGTTCCTACTCTTATGAGAAACAAAGTTTCCTGAGGGACTTCTGAAGTGACCTCACTTCCATACCACAGAGGAAAACCTTCTCCTATGCTTTAATTTGCATACCAAATATGTTTGTCATATTAAGTACCACAGACCAACCTCACTTCTAGACAGCAACATCAACAACACTTCAGCTTCAGCTCTGAATGATCCTTGTACCCCTCCCCCTGTCATTAATATCATCCTTGCACTTTTATGAAATATTATGCCTTTCCTGATGTAATTACAGCTTTCCCAGTCACATTCACACCCGCCATCTCACCTGACTCTCACTTCAAGAGATGGTAGAGGGTCAGCCTTTCTAGGTTTATTGTAGCACTATCGAATGGGCAGCATTGGTGTGTGAAAGCACCAAAGTAGGTCTCTATAAGCTTTGTGTTGACATGTGGATTCATCCCCAAATACCAGCTTTGAAACTTGAAATGCTTTAAGGAAGGTATTAAAAAAATGAAGAAAATGAACCGTCCTGATGCTTGGCCATCATGAGAGTCTCTGGGTCATCTCACATCAAATGAGTTCTGAGGTGGATAGTTCCTCTTAGACAAGACATCCATAGGACTCAGTAGACAGCCTGTGGTGAAATGAAAAGAAGGGTTTCAAGAACCAACCTCATCATAGCATCCTACAGTGATTGCATGGAGACAAAGCACTACCTGCCCCAACTCCAAAACAGATTGGCCCTCCCCAAAACAGTTTGGTCCACCCTGCTGGCCACATTCATCGAAACTCTATTTCCCTCCTTCTTCCCTCAAGACCCTCCAAATCCCCATGACCAGATAAAAACTGCCCCTTCTGCTTAGTCTCCATAGCATTTTTGTGCTTTTTGTGATGTTTAAAATGCTCAATTTGCATTATGAATGTGTAATTATTGAATCCCTTTATTAAATGGTAAAAAGGCAAGAGTCTTTTTTCCTCTTGAACACCTGATGCTATGCCCTGATCTAGTAGGAACTCAGTAAATTGCACTGAATAGAAACACTCTACTACTATGACCAGTATGTTCCTAAGATCAATATTTATTTTTTAAAATATTTGAAAGTCTCAAAAAGAGATATCCTAATAGATGCTCATGGGGAAAAAGGAGAGTTAGAATTCAATTTGTGCTTTTAAGCTATTTTTTTCTAAGGAAAAAAATATTTAGTTCAAAAACCTAGTACTTATGGATATTGTTATGTAAGATACTGGATGCAGACAGGAATATGTAATATGATACAGTGGATTCAAATTATTATTAACAATTAACCATAGTAGAACAGAATGCTTTTCTTTTTCTGCCACTAAAATGTACATGCTGTCCCTTTGGAGGGTGGTGATATAACATGCCATTGAAATACTACCTGCCCCACCTCAAAAATGGCATGGAGATGGCACACCAACCCCAAGTATCATCCATTTCTCCTTCTGTGTCATCCTAAGAAGTGCCCGGTCATTCTCATCAGGTTACCATTCCAAACACTCACCCCGTAGCCAGGCATTGCAGACAAGTGAGGCCAGCAAGCATGCCTCCATGGCAGGAGCCAGATTACGAACATTAGAGTTAGAAAACGGTACACAAGCCCATGGTATTCAGGCTGACTACAGTTGTCAGAATCATGTCATAATAGATCATTTTGTATCCACTATTCAGATTAACTGTGATAGCAACAAACTTCGGTGTGCTCCTTTAAGTTAATCAACTACGGAGTGGAAAGTCAAAATTACAACTGAGAAATGCCAGAGAGAGCTGTCTGATTTCTCTAAAATCACTAAGCTACAAACACTTCAGAGGCAAGTAATTCCATGGGGACCCTATAGAAATGAATGGCAGGATCATGGAAGAACAGCTTTTGGTGTCCTCACCTCTCTCACAGGACAATCCTCACATCCTTCCTCCAGTAATGAGATTGACGATGCCTCCATGGCTCAAGATAGACAGCATGGGGTATAGCAAGAAGCTCCCTAAATCTCCAAATCCCTTTCCAGCTCCTTGACTATTTAAGGATATTGACAAGAAGGATAATTCTGTAAAATCTTCATTTATTTTCTTAGTTACATAAATATGTACTCATTTTAAGCAATTCAAACAATACAAAATGACATTGAAAAATCCATTATTTGCAGCAATCTCACTCTCCTCCCCAGAGATAGTCCCAATGGGCCTTTGGTGCATGACCCTCCAGATCTTTTTCATGTGTGTTTGTGTTTGTGTCTGTATTATATATACACACATATATAATGCAAATTATGTGTACATGTGTACACATGAGCCATATGTGTGTAAATGTATGTACATATATACACACATAAAAAACCCAAACACATGATATATAACCAAACCTATAACGTATCTATAAAATTACATTGCAAATATTCTTTAGTGAAAGACTTTATTCACTTAGAAATATGCATTAGGGATTCCTATTTATGGGAACTCCATGCATTGCCTTTGTGTATTCCCTCAGTAAGTTATTTAACCACTGAGCTTCGCTTCAGGTTTCTTCTTGCTAAAATGAGGATACCAACACCATTTTCACAAGATTATAAGTCACTTAAGTGAGAATCCTTTTCTTCTCAAGGCAGAAAGAAGAGATCAGGAAAGCATACTGTTAAGGTAAAAAAAGGAGGGAGATGAGAGGAAGGTGGCATCAGAGTATGGAGGTGAAGTATGTTTATCAAGTGGGTTTGCCTAAAAGAGAGACTTCAGTAGTGTCTCCAGGTTGTTTTCTACTTTCTAAACGGGAGGGGACTGGCCATAGGATCATAAGAGGCAGCCCTCTGCCAGTTCGCATCAACCGGAGGCAGTACCTAGACTCAGAGGTAGCATGGGAGCTGCCCATGGATAGTGTCTGGAATCTCGGTGTTAGAGCTGGAAAGCTATTGGGAGTATCTAACCCTGAGACTCTCAGACTCTAACAAGCATCAGAATACCCTGGGCAATTGTTAAAATGTAGGTTCCAGGACCACACCCAAAGAAATTCTGAATTCTGATATAATGGGCCCAGTGATTTGGTCCAATCTCTTGGCTATATAGATGAATAAAAGAGATCTATACAGCTTTCATACCCTGGGAGCTTGCAAAATCAGTGCATCTGAGTACCTAGGACTAGATTAGCAGCAGCAACAACACCCTGGAATAGGTTAAAAAAGCAAAATCTTACCTCTGCTCCAGATATATAGGGCTGAATCACAAATCCTGGTGGTAGAGCACAGTAATCTGTGTTTTAACAAACTCTCCAGGTGCTTCTGATGTGCACCATGTTTGAGAGCCCTGCAACAGGGGATAAGCAGATAATTATTTGTATTGACTTTTGGAAAAGCTCAATTAGCTTCTTAATGTAGGTATGCCTAGTGTCCTGGAAACTCATTGACAGCATTACACCCAGGAAAATTTGAGAAGTTACTCCATTTTCCTATCCAGAGTAACTGATCAGTTCCAACAATTTCCAGAAATTGATTCCAATCAAGCTGCCTCAACTGGGACCTACTGTGAGACATAGTTGCCTTCGTCATCATCATCATTGCCACTTTTGGTGGTGGTTATCACAGCCAGCATTTACATAATGCTTACTATATGCCACTGTTATTAGAACAGAATAAATATCCACTTAATCTTCACAAACACACATTCACACCATAAATTTGATACTGTATTGGTATAATATTTTTATCCACCCCCATCTTATGGATGAGTAAACTGAGGCAAGGAGATATGAAATGATTTTCAATAATTTTACCACTCCTAAGAGTCAGAGTTTTGAGTCTAAATAGTCTTCCTCCTGAACCTCACCTCATGAACTCTCACAAGAGAGGCAGCCTAGGTAGTAGCTAGGATCTCCTGCTCTGGAGCCAAGCCATCCAGATTTAAATCTGTCTCTGCCATTTACTAGTAGCATGTGTCAAGTAATTGTTCTTCCAGCTTCTAGTCTCACCTTTTCCTGGACATCTGCCCTCCAGATGTTAAAATAATTACCACTCATATTCTAATATGTTCTTATCATTACTTCCTTAAACTTCTTCCATTTTCCCCTCCAAAAAAGATAGAATCTAAATATACCATAACATTCACAAAAAAGTTTTACCTACTCATCCAGCTTTATCTTCTACCATTCTTTCCCAGTGCATTAAGCTATAGCCATCCAAAATGACTTAAGATACCTTGATTAAGCCAGCCCTTACTTCCTTGCCTAGAATTCCTTTCCAACTTAAACTCCCTTTCACCAAGAAAACCAGTACTTACTTTAGGTTTTGACTAAAACACTGCTTCCTCTGGAAAAGACTTTCCTGGGTCACTCCTTCACAGGCTTTAAGACATCTATTTCTGCTTCCATTGTCACACCTCCATCATAGCAGTTATTATATTGTGCTAGAATTGCTTGCTTGTCTCTCCTATAACCTGTGAGTCCTTGAGGGCAAAACCAGTTACTTCACCTTTATCATAGTCCCAGTACACATCACAGGTTGTAAATAAATACTGGTTAAAGGAATGGATCAAGTAAACAAGGGGCAGGTGAGTCCCTCATTCCAAGGAAGGCAAGAGACAAAGTTCAAGAGTTCATAGAGAGAGAACTGAAGAAGTAGTGATGAAGTGATAATAATTGGTGAGAGAATGCTGCAGGAATCCAATGTATAAACAATGTAGCCATCCTAAGCACAGGCAGAACTTGATAGGCATTGTTTCCTGACATGACCTCATTGAGACAGCCTCAAATGGACCTTCAATACCAAGAATCATTTAGTGGGAAACTGTTTTCCTACCAAAAATTCTCTAGTATTCTCAGTATTCTCTATGACACAAATTTTTAAAAGTCCCAATAGGATCCTCCCTTCATGGCTATTGTAAGGGATTCTTCTGATGAAAGTTTAGCTCTCAGCTACGGGAATAGCTCAAATCACCTTGAGGATGACCATTCATGAAGGCCACATGGAGGTGAAGTGGCAGCAATGGCAAGAGTAAACGGAAAGATCTGAAACTGAAGAAAAATCTAGACTTACAACTTCAAGCATCCAACAACCTTGTCTTAACAAACTAAAAGACTTTTTTGGTAAACTTTTCTTTTGCTAAGAATAAAATAAAGCTATCAAAAACATATCTAGAGGCCATCAGGTGGCATGGTAGTTAAGGCATTGGACTCCCACATATCTGACCATGTCTCAGACATGGCAGCTTGAGAATCATGCTAGACACGTGTACGTGTGTGCCCAAAATCCCAAGAGGAGAAAGGAGGAGAAGAGATTGCAGTGTGGCCATAACAATAAGAGGGTGATTTCTCACATTTCTTCTCTATATTTCTCTCTGTATCTCTCCTGTGAGCACATGCACCCTTTGGAAAAAAACTTAAAAAACAAGCAAACAAACAAAAACACATAAAGTTTCATTATAGTAGTTTGCATAGTTCAATACTATATCTAACAGTGCTTGTGTGATGGTTATTTGAGTTCAATCTATTTGCCATTGACTTTTAGATACAAATATGCCACTAATATCTATATATTTGAAAATAATTGGTCATAATACATATTATTTCATAACTCATAATATATACACATATATTTTAAATATATATATATACACATACACACACACACAC